TAAAAAGTTATATTATTAAATAAAAAAATAAATCACTTTGTTATTAAATCTAAATTAAATTATAATAAAAAATTGGATTAAAGAAGTTATACAAAGAAAACGAATAATATCGATTTATTTATTTTTTTCAAAATTTTATGCTATCTTCAAATTTATATCTCATTCAAAAAAAAAAAGATTACCGCTTTCACAAACCATATGAAATCGTATTATATTGATAGAGACAAATAATAAACACTAAACATTGAAATGAAGATTTATCTCGCTACATTGCATGAGTACCCTTATAGTGTGTGTATATATATATATATATATAGTATATTTTAAATGCAACCATGTCCATTTGTACAACTAATGCAACCCAGTAAATTGAGATATTTATGGAAATGACGAAAGTTCATTTATTATGATTTGAATATTTATGAAAGAGGACTAAAGTTCATTAATTATGATTAATATTTTATATTAGAAAACAATCAAAACTTTTATAAAATCATATATTAATCAAATTAAATGTAAATTTATGGTTTAAGGGGACTTTGATTGGAAACGATGGTTAAAGTATGGACTATTAATGCATGTTTCCTTTTTAGAGGGACTATATCAGATGATTGATATATGCGTAAGGACGATTTTTTGTAAACCACTTCAATTTTAAATCTGTATGGACCGAAATGCATATTGTGCGATACTTTAAGGGTCACTTGTGTTATTTTATGATAAAATATTATTACAGATCTCTCTCTGTCTCCTCCGACAGTTGAAGATCTACACATTTTGAACCTAAATAAATTCCATCGGTGCTTGAATTCTTCGGCATTATAGCAACTCTGTTCCATCATTTTACTTACCAAGGTATGCTTTCAATTAGATTCTATCATGTTTTAGCTGCTTGAACGAATATCTCTAGATTTTGTGCGTTTTCAATGCAACTATAAAGTAGGTGATTTATTCTGAGTTTTAATGTTTGTTGTATATGCAAGTTATGAATTTTGTAGTTCTTGTTAATTTGATCATAGCAGGTAGTGTTTACGGAACTCTGATCAGTTGGACTCGTGGGATCGATTTGGATTCAGCTCAATTTTATGACTTAGGTCTACATTGATACTACATAGAGCCAATCTTACTGGGGAGGCTCTATCCATGTGGTAGTTCTTTTTGGTGATATCGATCAATCATGGGAATTGGGGTTTAAATGGCTCTGACCACAATTCGGGAACAAAATGGTAGAGAGTGATTTAAACACAGGAAAAACTGCTAATAATGAAAGACTTGGTTTCCAAAGGGATCCTTCGTTCTCTGGATGGTGTGACAAAGATGGTATATACAGTCCAATTGGTCTACAAGAGGATGATACTGTGAATACATCTGAACAGGACGATAATTTTGAATTGCCAGTGCTTCAAGAAGTTGGGTTAAGGAGTGAGCATCAAGCGGGTGGTAAAGGCCAACATAGTCAGTCTCAGTTGCATGGCAGTGACAAGACGGACATGGTATCTACTCCTAGCCCCAGAAGAGGAAATAAAAATGAGAATCATGCTTCTTTTGATATTGAATATGCTTATGATAGAGAGCTAGATTCCCCAAATACCAATTTTGCTTACAAACATGAAGCTGTTCGATCAAGCTCCAATAGTCCCTTTGCCATTTCTGATATACTCAAGACATTGTTTTTCATACTTATGTGGTACATTTTCAGTACATCATTGACCTTGTAAGTCTCCTCTTCTTCTTTTAGATTGCAAGCTGGTTTGGTATATCTTCCATCTTGAGCTGCAGTTTTAGAACAAGTTTCTTAATGGTGATAGGTATAATAAGACTCTACTGGGAGATGATATGGGAAGATTCCCTGCTCCCTTATTGATGAATACAGTTCATTTTACAATGCAAGCTGTTCTATCTAGGGGCATCACATACTTTTGGTCTCAAAGATCTGAACCTACCATAGCTATGTCGTGGAAGGACTACTTTATGAGAGGTAAGCTAGTAGAATTTTGTCCTCTACTAGTTTTTAGAATCAAAAGCTGCTAAAGAGTCATCACAAAGAAAATACATTCATTAGTGTTGATACCATATGTGTAATATTCTTGCACATTTGAGTTTTCATTTTGTTTCTAAGAGTTTCATTTGTCCTTTGTTTTCTGTTTTAATATGATTACAAACATATACGATATGTTCTTGGTGCTATTTTGTAGCAAGCTATTGAAATGACGAGATATCTTTTCATATTTTAGTTATCTAACTAGTGTTTGTAATCTATGCCTTCAGGAAGATTCTCTCCATAGGTCGTTCTATAATCTCCAGAGTTATTCTATGTACCGATTCTTGACCCTTTCAGATTGAGAAAGTGAATTGTGATTAGTGCCAATACTACTTACGCAAGATGCATCTCGCATTTTTTCCGGTGAAAAGCATTTCTTTCTGTACTTAGGAGTCAAAATCTATCAATCATGGGATTATTAAGATGTGGATTTTTCCCTTTATGTCGTGCCAGCAAAGGTCCTTAGATCATTGTTCCCTATGAACTTATGATCCGCCAGAATCTTGGTTCCCTAGATGAGTTGGAATGGTGTAAGTGGAAGAACAAGAGCCAATTTTGTATTGGTTTGAATTGTTTTATAGTATATTTTGTTTTACAATATTTAGGACTGTCATATTTTACCTAGTTTTAGAACTGAGGCCATTTACATAGAATAACAATCCCTCTTTAACATATATTTTTCTTCTATAAGTGCTGAGAAATTCCATATGAATGCTATTACAATGAAGTAAAGGGCATGTATTTTTTTCAAACAAGTAGCGAATATGATAGCTGATTTATTTCTTCAAAACTGATTTCATGGAAGTTCTGTAGGTTCTAGAAAAATCAATTATGAATTATATTGTAATTAAATTATAATTTATAAACATAATATAAATAGAACACGTTAGATTAACCAATTATTAGTTTATCACACAACTACTTAAAATGAAATAGCAAAACATGGTCATTCGTTTGATTTGAGTTTCTTCACCTGTTGTGGCTAGCGTTATATAATTTATTGACATAATGTAAGAAGACATGACGTGAACAGTTATTACACATCCACTTAGAAGGAAATGTGACACAATCATTCATTTGATTCAAGTTTCTTCACCTATTGTGAAGGATAATTGTAATACRGTATCATGAGATAGCCATAACGAGAGTAGTGGCTGCTGTGTCCTGGTTGCAGGATTTAAAACAACCTGCCATGCTAGTCTGTTCCTTGATGGATCCTGGAGACAGGCATGTAATGAGGTGTATTACATACTTAGCTCTTAGTTTGTTGTTGTCAAATTAGCTCATATATGAGATCGCTGCTGGTTGTTTCTATGCTGACCTAAAGTAAATTTTTGGGCCAAATTTGACACTATCTGTTACAACCTTTGGTATATTTTGAGTGTCGCTTAGTTTTCTTGGCACTGTTTGAGAGAAGTCAAAATTATCACTTGTTACACTATACCCTTCAACATTATATCCTTTGTTCAACTACCTTTGTCTAATAAGCGTAGTATAATTCTGCATTTCTCTTCTGTCCTTTTATGGCGTAATGTTGTATGTAAGTATTAGCTCTAGTTCATCCTACATGTTGCTATTTTTTATTAACTTTTCTAATAACTAATGCTACAGATGGACTTTACCTTTCACAGTTGTACCCATGTCTCTTGCGACAGCACTGGATGTCAACTTGAGCAACGCATCCCTTGTTTTTATATCTGTTTCATTTGCCACCATGGTTAGTCATCTTTACTATTCATATTGTGTTGAAATATCGGGTAGTTGTGTGAAACAAAATCAACTCCAACACTGTTTTTATCTTGAATATTGATGCCATTGCAGAAGCTGGAATGGTTTTATTAATTTCAAATATTTTTCTTGTTTGCAGTGCAAGTCTGCATCTCCTATATTTCTCTTAATATTTGCTTTTGCATTCAGGTATTTTTTATTTTCTACTGCTTTTTGATTGGCTGCTTTAATGAGTGTCATCTATACAACTGTTTTTTTGCAGTTATCTTTTACCTCTCACTCCACAATAATGATTTATGGTTTAGCGAGTGAGATGCCCATCATATTAGTTTGACACTTAAACTGAAGCCTTTATTTCCTAAACTTGTGCAATACACAAACCAATGTTATGAAAAAAAAACTTGCCTGTTCGTTTACCTCAATCAAATTATGAACTTAATCGCTGTTACTGGCATAGTAAAACGAGCTTCGCATTTGAACTACATTACACTACCTGTATGATGATAAAAAATATTTTGACCAAAAAGACTAAAATCATCCATATCAATCTTTAACTTGAAAAGCACCACTTCGAAATCTCTGATATCAGAATCATTAACCGAGGGATTCCACTTCTAGATACTATTATACCTGCATCCTTATGAATGCTACGTCGATCTTCTCCCATGAACACTGACTTTCTAGTTTCTACTTACATAATGCCCAAGTCAATCGGGGGAAGGAAAAGTGCATGCCCAAATGTGAATTATGAGGGCACTTTTAAATAATATAATGGCCAAGTCAATTGTCTTAAGATACAATGGCGCCTGCTTGGATGGGCTTTACAGCGAATTTAAGTGTGCGAGTATGATTAGAATGTGTCATACATAGGACAGTGTTATAGAAAGGTTATACCTTTCCATCCCAAAATAAATGCTACATTTGACTAGAAACATAATTTAATGAAATGCTTTACTATAGAGTATAATCAAATATCTATAGAACAGTCCTCAATAGTGACAAGAATAGAGGCATACAGGGGATCAAGATGAACACTTATCAAATATTATCTTTATGATTATTAATGGCAAATAAGGATTGGGACTTGCCAAACTTTTGAATGCTTCATTTATTTTAAGACATTGAAAAAAGGAAATTGTTACATCTATCATGGGTTTTTTAGTGCATATGATCTCGATATGTAGTTAAAATTCAAATCAATCATAAAGAAAAAGCAGTCACAAGGACTAGAGAAGGAATCCAATAATGCAGCCTAATCTTCTATGTAATTTGTGCTAGTCTCTTCTTCATGAACCATTATGAAGCATCATTTCAATGTCAAATGCTGATTTGTTTATTGTTTTTTAAGAGCTAACAATGTCCATATATTTGACATTTCAGTCAATTAGAGATTGGGGAGCCATTGTGTTCAATAGAACCCTAACTGCACATAGTTTAATCATCCGCACGTGATTCTCTTCCCAATATCATAGGTCATCTCATACATAGGGACCAATTTGAACTTGATCTGTTTCTGTTTATTACACTCTTCACGTGATCTGTTTCAGTTCGTTCAGCCATTCAGTTTAGTCTTATTCTATTCCTTTTACACTCTTCACCTGATCCATTTCTGTTTCTATTGCAAATGATCTTGTCTATTAGCGTGCAATCTCCCTTCGACTAATTCTGTACTTATCCCATCTTTAGTATTTTTAAATTTGACCATATCTAAGAGAACTTGTTATGTGATGGATTTATTAGGCCGTACATGTCAGATCTGCGATAACTATTTTTTTGGCAAAAGGAAAATTCTGTTGATTTGAATCTCATAAAGATCCATAACATTACACTTGCAGGTGGAACGATGTCTTTCAAATCCATGAAAACATCGAAAGCAACTTCGCTTGGCACAAGAAAAATGATCTAGTCCTTCAACAGGAAAAACAATATAGGAACCAAACCAAATGAAACCTACTAGAACCAATGAGAAACTATAACAAACCTACAGAGATTGTCGCCAAACTATTGAAGCATATGAAAACCAACTAACCTGAGCATTGAATTTGAACCAACTTGAGCACCAACTCTCTTGAGATCTTGCTTAGTCCTAAAACAACTTCCCCATATCTGTAGTAGCTAGCTAGGTATCATGGTTTGATACAGTTGTACAGCTCGACAGTTTCGTACTATACATAATGGTTGTGTTTAATATAGACCCCCCCTCGGAAAAAAAAGAAAAAAAGACTTCAATCATGATTGGGAAGGGGTTTACTTTTCTATGAATTGCAAAAACTATGATTACATAATTTGGTTCCTCTTCTTCTTAAGCTGATTATAAATGCTGCGATATCATGCAACACAATAACCTAGCTTTGGCAACTAATATCAACTTTACTGTGTAGGTTGGAGACTCCGAGTGTCAAACTTTTAGGCATTATTTTGATAATATCTTTTGGCATTTTATTAACAGGTATCATCCATTACACATAAATTATTTGATTTTGTAGAATAGATACAACATCACAGGTTATGTGCTGCATTTGGCATCAAAATGATCCAATTTTCTATTTCACTTTGCTCGATGATGGAATCCCTAATGAATACTTGACATGGTCCCTGTTAGCTAATAATATAAATTTGCGGCTTCACTTCCTAGTTAGATTATACATAGTCTCTTAAGATAGTACTTGATTGTGTATATATCCATGTACAGCTCTTCAAAAAATTCAGTTGCCTTTTTGTGTAGGGACGAATAATTCGGAAGTTGAATGCAGATACCTCATACCTGATTAATATTATATGCTTGTTATGTCGATTCCACATGTGGATTTTTTTGAATGCCTGTATACTTCTAATAATCTATCATCCGTCCTGACATCCATCATCACTATTGCAGTTGCAAAAGAGACTGCATTTGAATTTTGGGGTTTCATATTTGTCATGCTTGCTGCTGTAATGTCGGGTTTCCGTTGGAGCATGACTCAGATCCTTCTTCAGGTATTGCATATGTTCAATTCCAATTATGGTTTTTGCAATGATCAAGTTTCTGACTTATAAATCATCAGTTGTTTTTCATTTGTACTTACTTCATGTTTTATCTTTCTTGGGTTGGAAAAACCAACTGTTCAATGCTGATACCTATCGAGTGTACAGAAAGAAGTCTATGGTAAGCACCTCCCTTGCTATTAAGTTTCCGGTGTTGGTATTGTAAAATCTACACTTACATAGTTGAGCACATTATAAATCACATTCAACATTCAGGATTGTCTTCAATTTCAAATTGCAATTCACAAGGCTTGGTCTGAAGTATTTTGTTGGTAGACGTACAATTTGTTGGCAAGTGGGTCTTTTTATATATTAGTAGAGTTTGTTAACCTTCCTGCTTCCTTGTTGGAATAATCCTTTGTGTTAGAGCTTCATATAAACCAACATTTTCCACACCAAGAACTGTGAATCTATGATTCCTTTTGCAAGGTTACTTCTTGTCTGCATAATTGCGTTTTTATGGTTTTATGTCCCCGAAAGGCTTTGTAGAACACCACACCAGCCTTACTTTTATTGTTTGTTGTATCGCCGGACCAGGTTTGAAAAATCCTCTGAAGCTAATGAGCTATGTAGCTCCAGTAATGGCCGTGGCAACAGCTTTGTTCTCGCTCATTATGGATCCCTGGGATGAATTCAGAAAGAGTAGTTATTTCGATAGCTCATGGCATATAACCCGGAGTGGCCTCCTGATGCTTTTGGGAGGAACTCTCGCATTTTTTATGGTAAGGTTCTTCATTTAGCAAAATGTGGTTGTCACTCTGGTTTAAAAAATGGTTTTTCCTTTTCAGTTGGACAACAGTTAAGATCCGTATACACTTACACACGTTCTCTTTCTCTTTATGACTAGATATGTCCTGAAAAACAGTTTGTATTGATATCCAAGTGCTTAACTTAAATATTGGCAATAATTATTTTCTTTGCATGTCTGGAAAAGAGTTTGTATGTACGTAGCTAGAAGAGTTTATTAATATTGAATAAATTAACTCAATGACTAATAGGAGATTTAGGATAGTTAATGAATCTTATCCTCCACTGTTATTTCAAGTGCTTATTTTATCAAGAAAAAGGAAAAAAGAAAAACAATACAAGTACAGTGTGATTATTGTTTGCTCCAGTGGCTGATTTCATGAGGAAACATTACATCTTTCACCTTTCTTTTCTCTTCTGCGTCTTTTCACCTCTCTTTTGTTGCTGTAAATCTTGTATCCATTGGACCATTAGTGTTGTATATATATAACATGATAAATGTGAGATACTCAACTTCTTGAGGAATTGCGCCTGCCTTATTTCTTGCAGGTGTTGACAGAGTACATTCTTGTTTCAGTAACAAGTGCAGTAACAGTGACTATTGCTGGAGTTGTGAAGGAAGCTGTCACAATACTGGTATGGCACCATCTTTAAGTCATGAACAACTAGTATCACTGTTTAATTAAATATTCGGAAATGTTTACATCCAGAAAATCTAATTAGAAACCTTAAATATGCTGCAATACAAAATGAGAACATCTGAATCAATATGAATTACCAAACCAAACATTTGAATCAATATAAATTGTGACTGAATAATTTTGGTACAAAAGTGAGAGTTTAATGTGGTACCAAGCCGAGTAATTCCTGGATATTTAAATAGTGAAATGCTTTCACAAACATTAATAGTAGTTATAGGCATTTCTCAATTGATTCAAGTTCATGTAGTAGTGGTATAAAGGGATTTGGATATGACACTCCACTTTCAGCAATATAAATAAGAATAATCTGTCATGACGAGGTGAACACAAGATCCATCAAAGTTTTGAACATCCATTTGCAAGCCCACTGGTTTGTCACTGTTTTACGAACATAACATGTTTTAAAATCCTTAAAGCTTGCTAACGTGAAAGAAATAAAGACAAACATCTATAGATCATTATGATTTAGTGACGGTACTTAAACTTTGGTAATATCTGATTATCTGTTTTGTTAGCATGGTTTGTCTGATTTAAAAGCGAATGGATTTCCAAAGTTTGCTGGTTCAGCATCTATCATCATTGGCCGCAGGCCCATAGTTCACTGTATCATTTAACCTTCACTATCTTCTTGTTTTTAGTTAACCAACTCTTCACTGATTGATTCTCTTCACCGTCTAAAAGGGCTCGACTTACATATATGTTCTTCTTCTGCATTTCAATGTCACATCCATTGTAGTTAATTTTGAGTTCCCATTAGAGCCACTTGATGAGATCTCTGTTAAAAAAAGAACTCATGTGATTACAGAAGCCATTGCAAGAGAGAAGGCTCAAGGGTACATATATATTTATTTTGATCTTGCAACAATCAGCCATAATGTGCCCAAGAACCTTATGGCGATGATGGTTTTTGAGAACAATGATTGTTTTAAGTGTTTCCATCCCTGATTTCCAAAAACCTAAGCAAATTAAATATCAACTGTATTTAATCATCAAATTTAATGTGCATTGGCAGTCAACTTATCCAAATATCAAGGAAGTTAATGATGTATGTTCTCTTCTCTTATTCTGCTACTAATTTTATTTTTATTTTCAGGTAGCTGTATTTTACTTTCATGATGAATTTACATGGCTGAAAGGAGTTGGTCTTTTCACAATCATATTTGGTGTGAGTCTATTCAACTGGTACAAGTAAGTTATCAGGCCTTGCTTTTCACTCACCTCTTGGTTTATCATCTGGGAAGACTTCATTTTTAAATTAATTTTTTTGCCATCGTAATTAAGTACCTCGATCATGGGTTCGATTAAGCAGCCCCTTGGAGAGGTCATTGGAAAAAGTCCCTTCAAAAACTGGGTGCACATATACATCCTTGTCTAACCTTGGCGAGGACCCTCGGCGCATTGGTGTCACTCCTTTCTCTTAGTTATTAGAAGAACTTGCAATAACACAGAAAACCAGATAGGAATTGTAATTTGAAGCCAAAACAAACCAAACTAGCCCAGTATATCCCACACGGTGGGTTCTGGCTGTGGGATGTACAAAGAGTTGATCTCTACTTCAAATAGTAGAGTGGTTGTTTCCGAGTTGACCTAGGATTTCAAAGAAGTGTGAGGAAAAGAATTTAGACCTGAAAGTTTCAGAAAAGTGGTTAAAAGTGAAGATCTTGATACCAAAAAGGAGGATACGACAATTCTTGAAAAGAAAGGCTAAATGAAAATAAGCAACAAAAGAAATATAGACGTAGGTACGAACATAGCAAATGTTTGAAAAACTACACCCCTAGGATAACTTAGGACCCTAACCTATTTGTCGGCGCACTATTCCTCCCCTCCTACCCTCTATCTCTCCAACTTTGTCACTCAAGTATGCTAGCTACGGGTACCCATCCCTAGTCCACTACTTGAAGATCATGTTCCCAGAAGTGTCTAAGGCCGTCATATCACTTGGAGGATTTCATAATACCCAACGTTAAGGTGCTCCGGTTAAGTGGTATGTGAGTTTGCCATGCCATTCTTATAACTCTAGATTAGTAAATTATCACTTAAGTAATATTGAATGTCTTGTTTAACCAAAATTAAAATGTTCATCCTATGCAGTTAATTGCACGCTTTAGCGGTTAGTGGTGGTACACAATATAGGCATATAGCGGTGCATTATAGCGGCCACAATTACTGCTTAGCATCGCATTTTGAACCCCAAATAGCGGCCACAATTACCGAATTTTCTTTTGGAGCTGTTTTGGAACTTTTTTGTTAAATTTAAACGGGTTTCTATTTTGGGTGGCTTCTGTTTTGTGTGGGCTATTTAGACTCTTAGTTGCCCTATCAACAAAAGCAACGGTTATCAGTCCCATGGTTCCATAGTCCAAACCTTTGTCATCAATTCCAAAGTCCAAAATGATTCCATAGTCGTGTTTGATTCCACAATCCCGTTCTGCTTTTATTGATTCCTTCTACTGTTCATCTTCGATTGCTTCTACTTTTGAGAACACAACTTACTATCAGGCCCTAATCGTTGGAATTTTGGACTTTGGAATTGCACGACACTTTTCTGAATGGTTTCTGACTTTGTTGTTTAACCATATAAGTCTAGCTTGGTTATTGTTTTGTTGTTTGTGCATTAAGTATTTATTTTTATAGGCATATTATATAAAAATATATATATATATATATATATTCATATTTATTTTATGAACATAATTTTTTACCACCGCGATAACCACAATTTCAAATCACAGTCCCGCCCACATTTCTGCAATCAACCGCATTAACTGCTTAGTGTTCATCAAAGATTTATGTCATATTTACTCTATCCCATTGAAATCACAACATTTAACTCAAAAACTTGCTTAACATAACTGTTTAGATCACACTATCAGTTAATTGTCTAAAATGCCCTTCAATAATGGCCAAATGGGGGAATCATGAGGATCAAAAACACTACCATAAAGTTTTTGTAATGATGACATTGCAAATAGTAATATCTTGAAAATTTTGTCACAAAAGGAAAAATTGCAATTGTCATTGGATATCCACATATGGAAATCGTTCCAATTTCTTTGGGACAGATTGGCTAGCACTTCTGAACTGAGTTTAAGAGCCTAAATGAAGAACATATAACATAGTTTTCTCTATCTACATTACCTTTTAATCTTAACTAGACTAACTCTGTGGACCTTTATGTGGAGTCCTTGTAATGTTCATACGTAATAATATTTCTCATGCCTATATGTTTCTTATTCTGATGTTCGTTTTGATCATACATCAGGTACCAAAAGTTACAAAATAGAATAGTAAGCGAAGATGACACAGCAGAATCTGGTGTCCCCGCAAAATATGTTATTCTCGAGGATACGGAGGACATGGATGATGAGGAAAGTAGTCCCTGATTGCTGGTTCATCATACTGTTACATGCTCCATTACAAGTAAGATTTCTATCCTGGATAAAAATTAATGAGCTATGGGGACCGAATAAAATAACTGATCTTAACAACACTTCATTTCATTTTATTATCCCAAGATTATAAGGTAAATAAGAATTCCAAGCTTATTTAGGGTGAGAACACTAGCAAAATTTTTAAAGTTTCATCTGCTTCAAGATTTACTATAGCAGTGGGTCCCATCACTCGTGAACTTATGACAACCTGTACAGCCTCTCTACTCCTCGCGGTAGAGGAATGATATCCTCTACCTACGTTCTATCCCTAGACCCTACTCTTGTGGGATTTACTGGTTTCGTTTGGTCTGTTTTTGGATATCATGCCCATAGTTTGTGACCATAAATTTTGATGAATCTGCTGGCAACTGTGCAGATGGAAATATAATCTTGCAGCTGTTATTTACCAACTCTACTTGTCAAAAGGAGCTTTTGATGATTAGCACAAATGGTTCTCGTTCTCTTGTTCAAAGCTCGTTATGATTTGCAAATGTACCCATAACGAAAATGCGGGAAAGGACTGGTAATACGAGTACGAACCCTAAATCAGTAATAGCCATTTTGCTTCTCTAGATCCTATGCATATTCCGGGGTTCATTCTCTAGTTTCGTTGTTGGTGAATAAGTATCTACTTACAAACATACCCTTGTTGTTTTTGGTGTAAATGCCCCTGCATGGTGAGTGGGCATGATATAAAACACAAATATAATTGAATTCATAGCAACATTTCAATATACATTTTTGTTGAAGGCTTGAAGCATATAATATTTATATGGAGTATAACTCGTACACACATTGATTTTAAGAAATATTGGGTTATCGGATACTGCTAAACCAGTGGTCTTTGATTCGATATCCGTTTTCAAGGTTAGAGAGGGGTTTTCTATGAACTAGAAACTAGTCAAAGATTTCTTGCATGTTGACGTAGGATGAGTATTTGTTTATGGATTAAACACTAGAAAACCGTATACATGTGATTACAGGCTTGCATTACATTTTGCAAAATGGTGTCCAAGAAACGAACGGTGGGCGAAATCATTTGACCAACTTCACTATTTCAACACGTTTGAGTGTCAGACAACTTCAAATTAGTCGACTCTTTTAGTGTTTAAACCTTATAAATAGATGTACAACGGCATATTGAGCTATTCAATCTGTTCATCAGCCATGAAACCATCACTCATTTCTGGTCTTTTACTTGCTTTCGTTCTTCTTGYATCTCACTACTCGGTGGCCGCCCATCGGTTCGACTACCCYACCGCCAAACTCTCTACAACATGGACCAATGCCAAGTCCGCTCCCCACTCTGTGAGCTTCACTGATGGCTCAACGGTCCGAGCCATCCTCCTTAGAGGATCCTATGGACCCAGATTCGCCTGTGGCTTCTACTGCAATGGAACCTGCACCTCCTACGTTTTTGCCATCTTCATCGTGCAAACCAATAGTGCGTCTGGTATTGTTGCACCCGCAATCGGGTTCCCTCAAGTTGTCTGGTCAGCCAACCGAGACCATCCTGTCAAGCTTGGAGCAACTCTTAATCTCACTCCCGCTGGAGAATTAGTCCTCCGCGATGCTGACGGTAGCCGTGTTTGGTCTACCAAAACCGCCGGGAAATCAGTTGCCGGCATGAGCATAACCGATAAAGGAAACCTGGTGTTATTCAATGCCAAAAACACTATCGTTTGGGACTCTTTCAATTACCCGACGGACAGTTTGGTCCCTGGCCAGAAACTGTTCCAAGGACAGAAGCTGATCGCTAGTGTTTCGCCGACTCGTTGGTCGAAAGGTTCGTATTCTCTTCAAGTCACTAATCAAGGTTTGTTCGCTTATATTGAATCCAAACCACGTCGAGTCTATTACCGATACTTGATCAACGGCCCCGATCGAAGTAAAGARAGAAGTTACATTAGGTTCKCGAACGGAAGTTTGGCTYTGTTCGTTCATTCTGCGGAGCCAAGTCGTCCTGATGGTTCGATTCGAGTACCTCGAGCATCATCAGCTCAGTACATGAAACTTATGTCCGATGGGCATCTGAAGGTGTGGGAATGGCAGCAGTCAGGGTGGAGAGTGGTGGCTGATTTGTTCGGAGYTCCTCGCCGGAGCCCGTAATGGGAACTGAATCCGGTGATTGATCATTACAKCTAATCGGAATAAAAAAATTGTTGCTTTGTGTAGAATAAATGGATGATTGATTGCCATATATTGGTAACAATTTGTTGTATACGTATGTTTCTACTGAATAAACGTCTAAATATATTGCAACGTACTGAAAAGAAACAAAAAATCAAAGTTATAAATGAGGTCAAACCTCAAGCTCKTACGAGTTATAGTGAGACCCATGACGTTTTTAAGGCGTGTCCTAATGCGACATATGTATACGTATATGTATGTGTACATATTCGTGTATGTTAGTTTTGAATAATCTCGTGGAACAATTTGAATTCATACAAAGTCGTAAAACTAAAAGAATGAAAGAAGAACCATTTACATCAAATATATTATTAAACTTATACGTACGAAAATGATATTAAGAGTGGAAAATCAGGATTAAATCTTTGAAGTTGGCACTCACTGCTATACTTTCTTTTAATGTTTATCCCTACACGTTATATGTTTAAAAAAAGGTAAAAAAGCATGTCTTACCGGATAACGTGACATAACGTGCTACAACAGAAACCAAGCCTTAGAGTGGAGCGACGTGGGTCAACGTGATGGTAAGCGAAACCTCGATATCACAACAAGTTATAGTGAGTTAATTAGAGCTTCTCCGATGGAGATTCTCATAAGAACCCACTTTTGTATTTTTTCTTGTCAAGTCATTTCCAACTCACCAATGTAATAATCTACATAAAACTCTACGATGATAGTTATTATAAGAATCCATTTTATGGCTCCCACATATAATATATTAAATAAATGTATACATATTAATTATTATATTGGATATAAAAGTCAAGAAAATATATTAAAAAACTAGCAAATTTTCAGTGCACACCGATTTGAAGGTAAGATCGTACAAGAATTCAAAGAAGGTGAACTTCTTATAAGAACTTTCCACAATGTTGGTTCTTGTAAAAAACTAGACTTTTTGTTAATAATAACAACCTTAGTTGGAGATGCTCTTATAACAATGCTAAGGCGAAGGCCAGCTCGAGCTTAGCTCAACCTTGTAGTCATGGTCCAGTTGTTCAGAACCCACATTCTCAATTTGTACTCATTGGTTTAAACAGTCATTTATTGGTAAGTGTGATAATGACTGGTAATTTTATCCAGTAAAAAACATATCAAACGTTAAAATCATACCTAATAAGTCAGAGAGAAGACTCTTATTGTTACCAGAACAATCTATTTTGATGTCGAAAAATATTAACTGATAAAAAAATGAGGGTGAAGAACTGAAGATTATTTCAATAAAACTAATCAGTTTAAGCCCTAAAGGTGACAAAAGAAAAACCTCCATGGTTGGTGAGTGGCAGATGGTTTAAGAGGAGAAGGATGATACTTATAGATTGATAATGTTCAGTTTACCACCCTGAGGTTTGAGTAGTTGATGGTTATGCACCCTGGGTTTTTTTATTGTCTTCATGCCAAGTCCTCCGTATCACATCAATAAGAACAAATAACAGTAAACTTTTAATAAAACAACTGGATAACGTGAGATTATTAATATATAGTCAAATTATAAATAATTACATAATATTAAAATAAAAATACAAATTTATAAAATAAGATTAAAAAAATATCTCATTTTGAACCACAAATAGCGGCCACAATTACCTAATTTTCTTTTGGAGATGTTTTGGAACTTTTTTGTTAAATTTAAACGGGTTTCTATTTTGGGTGGGCTTCTGTTTTGTGTGGGCTATTTAGACTCTTAGCTGCCCTATCAACAACATCAACAGTTATCGGTCCCATGGTTCCATAGTCCAAACCTTTTGTCATCAATTCCAAAGTCCAAAATGATTCCATAGTCGTGTTCGATTGTGCTTTTATTGATTCCTTCTACTGTTCATCTTCGATTGCTTCTACTTTTGAACACTAACACTTACTATCAGGCCCTAATCGTTGAAATTTTGGACTTTGGAATTGCACGACACTTTTCTTAATGGTTTATGACTTTATTGTTTAACCATTTAAGTCTAGCTTGGGTATTGTTTTGTTGTTTGTGCATTAAGTATTTATTTTTATAGGCATAATATATATATATGAGCGTTCAAATAAAAACCACCCAATTTGTATAAATCGTGAAAACCACATTCAACCAATCATAATTTTTCATTTTGTTCATTTTTTTGTAATTATGAGAGGTTGATTAACCATTTTTATTTTGGAGGGTGTTAATCATGTATATTATCATCTTCATTATTTTAATTTTAGAGAAATATATGAAACAATTTCATTAAAATTTATATGGAACAATTTTATAACCATATATGAAACAAATTCATCAAAAAATGTATTATATGAAACAATTTCACAAGATTAAATAATTTCATGAAAAAATTTAATAAGATTAAACAACGAAATCGACGTATGAGGGTGGTTTGTATGGTTTGTACAAATGATGATGATTTTCATTTGATCGCTCCTCTCTCTCTCTCTCTCTCTCTCTCTCTCTCTATATATATATATATATATATATATATATATATATATATAGTAGAAAGGTACTCGCACAATGCAGCGAGATACATTTTGATTTTAATATTTTATTTTATTCTTTATCTCAGTCCATGTTATAATATGGTTTTATGTGATTTTAAGAAAACGATGATATTTTTAATTTTGAATAAAATATAAGTTTGAAGATATCATAAAAATTTGATAAAAATATATCGATATTAGTATCAAATTAACTATTTAAAATTTCCTCATTTTTTTGTGTAATTTTTTAACTCAATTTTTTTATAATTTAATTTAGGTAAAATAACGAAATAATTTATATTTGGTTTAATAATATAATGTTTTTATAAAGATAATAATTATTTATTTTTTTAGAATTCGATAATTATTCTAATTATATTTTAGATTTTTTATATTTTAAAATGAGATGTTATTCTCTATTTGATTATGTTTATCCGCAGTTAGTTATACGGATTCAAACATCAAGCTTTAATAAGTTGTACTTATACATAATTTACTTGTAATCTTGAATTTTAAGTAATATGCAT